CAGCACAACCTGCAACCCAGAAAAACACTCCCCGAGGCAGACGCTCAGCAGGACTGTGTGCGCCGCAAGCATCAACAGGAATATCCACGGAAGCATTGCCCATAGACGTCCCCAGTGTCCGAGGGCAGTGCCACGCATCAGTTATCACTCCCTAAGTGGGAATGCGCGGACTGCTGCTCCCCACGACTGCATGGTGAACCTCGCAGGTATAAAAAGGGGTGAGCGAAAGCAATCAGACACAGCAGAACACCTGGTACCTGTGGACTCGCTACGAGGCTCAGGAGCGGATCAGAGGAGCACCTGGGATGTTACGAAGTTAGGCCAATGTTAACTTTGGCAAGAGTGGGGCTTTGGGGGCTGGTGGTGTTTTCAAGTCTTAACTTGGTGGTGATGATGGGGGAGTGTTTGTTTTGTGATCATTCATCCAATGGATATTAATATGTATATTTCCAGGTGTGGCGGTGGGGGCTAGGGACTGTCTCCGTTGGTGGGAAATGCCTATTATGAAAATACTATGTATGGGTTTCAAACTTTTCCTGCAAAAATAAACTTTTTTTTTTTGACAGGCAGAGTGGACAGTGAGAGAGAGAGAGACAGAGAGAAAGGTCTTCCTTTTTTCCGTTGGTTCACCCTCCAATGGCCGCCGCGGCCAGCGCACCGCGCTGATCCGATGGCAGGAGCCAGGTACTTATCCTGGTCTCCCATGCGGGTGCAGGGCCCAAGCACTTGGGCCATCCTCCACTGCACTCCCGGGCCACAGCAGAGAGCTGGCCTGGAAGAGGGGCAACCGGGACAGAATCCGGCACCCCGACCGGGACTAGAACCCAATGTGCCGGCGCTGCAAGGCGGAGGATTAGCCTAGTGAGCCGCGGCACCGGCCTTCCATGACCTTTTTCAAAACCCTTCGTAGATTTGTTCTTCAGAGCCGCCAGCAGGAAGGCGTAAGATGACTTTGGCCTTGTGAATTTCCCCGCACTGCCCCAGAGCTGCCCTCTGAGTTTGGGAGGACCCGGAACACCCAGAGCAAAGCTTTCTTTGGAGCCCGACCTTCTCTCTTAAATGCCAGCACCTGCCAAAGGCTACAAAGGAGACGCCAGAGCGGGGAAGAGCCGGCTGGGAGTTCACGGACAATAGTCGTGGCTACGCAAGGCACAGGGGATAGGCATGTGAGCTGGAGAAGGAAGCAAGCAACGGGGCTGCTTCCTGAGCCACCCCTGTGAGTTGGCTACCCCGTGAGGTCCTGTGTCCCTCATGCCCATCTCACAGATCCGGGGGACTGAGGCTCCAGCAAAGAGTGAAGCCAGGGTGTCCCCCAGACAGCCACGGGTCCCCCAGGGCTGATGCTTCCTTCTCTTACCCTGGAAATTCGCCTGTCACTGCTGGGAGGGCCGTGCCAAGGCTCCAGAATGTTCTGTCCCAGAATGCTCTGCCAAAGCCCGCCCTCCTCCCGCATTGGAGCTAAGCCCGCATGATCTAAGCCTCCGTTATCACTGCTGATCAAACTCAGCTGTGGTTGCTGAAGCAGGCGCATCAGAGGTGCCCGCAGGGGGACTAAGGGAAAATCACACCAAACTCTCCCAGCTGGCGCCGCTCCGTCTCATCCCAACTCCTGGAGAAAGGGTCCCAGGAAGCAGGCCCCCAGCTGCCGTCCTCTGCTTGCTTGCCCACCGACCCCTCCAGAACGTGACAGCACCCAGGCGAGCGAGCTTTCTTCCTTTCGTTCTGGTGATCAAATCCTGAATCCAGTCTGACCGCAGTCCAGGGCACCAGCTACAGTTTCGGGGATCAGGGAGCTCGGGGTGCCGAGCCACAGGCAGGCGACCGATGGCAATGACAAGGTCAGCTGGCTGCACCCCAGGCCTTGTTCTGCCTGGTGCCGGCTGGGCTTCGGGCCCAGGTACCTGCTGGAAGGTACCATGCACTGGGGAGCAAGAGTGAACAGAAGTGAGGGTGCCTCGGCACTCCCATGTGGGAAGCCTGGGGGTGGAGGCAGGAAGGAAGGCTGGAGGGGAAGGAACTCCACAGCGTGGAGTTCTGTGGCAGCAAGGGGGGTGCCGTCTACATGCCAGTCACAAGGATGCTAAGATGACAGGTCAAGGCTAGGGGGTGGGGGCGGGGCAGAGGGCCCAAATTGCTTCCCAGGAGGGTGATGGGCCTCAAAGGAACAGGTTGAGGAGGTGCCTCAGCCCCGCAGGCTTGCTGTGGTGTGCAGAGGGCTTGCGCGCGTCCTGTGACTCGGCACAAGTGGAAGGATTTAATTTCTCAACAAGCACCATCGAGTTCAGGGAGAGTTACACAGGGAAAAGCAGGATTAGCTTTCTCGGTAGGGGGTGCTCGAGGGACATTGTAGGAGGAAGGGGCCCCCCTGCCACTTCCCGCGTGCACTGGAGTGGGGGGGGGGGACCTAGTTATTGTGACTGCTTTTATCAGCATTCTTCCTGCTTTTCATTTTCCGACTGTTGCTGGTTTGTACGAATGCACATGGCTTCGGTGGCTGCGGCTCATATCCGGAGAGCTTACGGATCTTGTATTAATTCTCACCATCTCTCCTGGGTTCTTTGGGTTTCTATGATTGTATGTGTATGTTCTCTTTTCCCAGTCTCCGTAACCTTTTCAGAACACCCCATTGGCTGCTAAAACCTCTCATTGCAAGGCTGAGCAGCTCAGTGACGGGCTACCCTTGTTGGATCTCTGCTTTTAGAGGGTGAGATTCCATTTCCCCTCCTGGCATTATTTTGTCATTTTGCTGAGGGTTTTTATTAGAAACTCCTTATCAGACTAGGTAATTCCCTTCTATTTTGAGACTGTCTGGTCTTTGGGAGGTTGGTTGGTTTGCTTCCGGCCTTCCACAGCCTTTGATTTGACTGAAAGCCTTTGATTTCCCAACATTTTCGAGATTATAGTTTGGTGTGGGGAATTACAAGAATACAGTTCCTCCTGTCGAAACGTCCTTACATTCCTTACAAGCTCCCTGGAAAGGCTAAAAATTTAACTTGGTCTTTTTTTTTTTTTTTTTTTTTTTTTTTTTTGACAGGCAGAGTGGACAGTGAGAGAGAGAGAGACAGAGAGAAAGGTCTCCCTTTGCCGTTGGTTCACCCTCCAGTGGCCGCCGCGGCCAGCGCACCACACTGATCCGAAGCCAGGAGCCAGGTACTTATCCTGGTCTCCCATGCGGATGCAGGGCCCAAGCACTTGGGCCATCCTCCACTGCCTTCCCGGGCCACAGCAGAGAGCTGGACTGGAAGAGGAGCAACCAGGACAGAATCTGGTGCCCCAACCAGGACTAGAATCCGGGGTGCCAGCGCCACAGGCGGCAGATTAGCCTAGTGAGCCACGGCACCGGCTGGTCAAAATATATCTTAAAATATATGGCTAGACTCATCTTGCTAAGTTGTTTTGTCTTGTTTAGTAATTTGCTAGGTGATATTGGCTTATAATTTTTCTTCTTGACTGCTTTTAGAATTAAGTTTATACGAGCCTAATAAAACAAATGATTAAGAGTGACTTTCATTTCTATGATACATAGTGGAGGAAAAGGAATTTTCTGTTCCTTGAATGCTTTGTAGAGCCTAGACTACAACGCAGTCCACACAACCTAGTGCCAGTTTTTATGGTTTTCTTGAAGAAGCAGAGGATTGTTCAGACATTAACTCTTCTCCAATAAGTTCTAGAACTTTAGGAAGCTGTTCTTTGTCTCCAGGTTTTCAAATTCATTGTTAGAGAGTCTCCAAAGTAGAAAGACAGGTTGCAAGTCACTCATACAGTAGAGCCAGTATGAAAACTATCTTAAAAATTCCAACAAAGCAATAGAGAAGAGATAGGAGGAAAAGTCTGATCAAAAGCTTTCCAAAAGGGGTTCAAGAAAAGCTCCGTGTCAATCAGCATTGCAAAAGGACGCTCCGTCTCCACTGTAGTCAGGGAAGCCTGAGCCTCGCGCGCGCCCCCAGAAAGGCTGAGTGCGGAAGGAGGACCAGACTGAGTGCTGGCGAGGGCGAGGAGCGAGGGAAAGGCCCGCACGCGGCTGAGGAGGTGGGGACGGCAGCCCCACTCTGACACTGGTGTGTCTGCACAAGGGCCCGGCTGCGCGTGCCCACAGCTCCCTACGCCTAACGGGCAGCAGCGAAGCGGCCACGCCTTAACCACTGCACCCACAGAAGGGCACTGACGGCAGCACGCACGCCACAGAAGGCACAGGGTTGAGGAGGAATCCGTGATGGCCGTGTGGAACAGCGTAGGGGAGCTCACCTGGGTGCCTGGGAGCAAAAGACGACTCCCAGGAACACAGAGTTTGATTCCATTTGTCACACTGCTAAACCTTGGCTTATTTCAGAGAGACGCAGGGACGAAGAGGAACATCCTTCCTAGGAAAGAGAGAGACGGCCAAGGAAAACCTGGACTGAGAGGTACCCCAAGTTCATTACCATCAGACCTGCCCTTTGGTCCTCACTGTGTCTTGGACACCAGCCACTTCTTCAGCACTCTGGCATAAGCTTTATCTGTTCCTTCATCTCTGAAAACTGCCAAGTCACATACAACACACATTAAACACGTTTACGTGCTTTTCTCTTGTTATCTGTCTTCTGTGATGGGCGCCTCAGTCACGAACCTAGTAGTGGGTGGGAAAAGAAATCTGTTCTCCCTAAACTTCCAGTGTAAAACAACAGGTAATAAACACATTTGCAGAACCAGGATGTTTCTCTTCTAAGAAGAATATTCTAAGAATATTCTTCCACTCATATTAATGTTCATAGATAATGTTCTATGTAAATAACTTTTGTAAAGTATGTATTAATCTGTAAACATCATCTAAATTTTCAAATAGGATATTTCCACAAAGATGAACATTCTGTAGAATCTTTTGTATTTTTATATTAATATGAATAAGTTTAATAGTGTCTCTACAAACATGTTCAAATATATTTGTATGTAATACATTACATATGTAATACATATATGTATAATATATTTTCACTTTTTTATGTATGACATGAAGACAAGGCTTTTACATACGATTGCTTTTACTGAAATAAAATGTACATAAATTACAGACAGTCTATTTGTGTGAAAGTTTCCCCTTCCCCCTTTCAAATATAGTTTCCATTTGGCTACCTATAACATGGACCTTGGCATGAAATCAAAGTCCAGAATCAACCAAGGAGTACAACTCATAATCTAAATTGCATTTTTAAGTCTTAAAATAAACCTACAGTTCACTTAAGGTTCAGTTAAAGTGACCGATTTCTCGTCGCTCTAGGTTCCTCTGTTGACCTGCTTCTCAGCGAAGCAGTGCCCTAGAGCTGTCCCTCGGGGTTTCAGACGCCTCTGCCTGCCTCACACCTGCAGCACTTAAACCTCTGAGCCCAGGGCTGAGCCCTCAGAGACAAAACAGTGTCACTGTGACCCTTTCTAAACGTGAGCCCTGAAGACCGACCTGCTCTTAAGATGAAAGAAAATTAAAATCCCCATTTCAAACACCAGCTTAACGTCCCCAAACCCCGACTGGCTAGATCCCATGTGGCTACTCAGACCCCATCATGCATGAAATTTAATTCTTGAGTCACACCAGTCACTGCTCAGAGCTCAAGAAGCTCGCATGCCTGGCAGTTACTGCACTGCACAATGCAGGTCCAGCGTCTCCTTCACTGCAGAGAGCTCTACTGGTTGGCACTGGGCTGGACCACAGAGGAGAATCCGCACACCTTTACACGAATTTACATATATCCCCCTACTTAGTCACAGAAGCTACTCCTCTAAGCTTATCTTGAAAACAGTAAGCCACCATTTGCAACGATGGCATCCCATATACCAGCACTGGTTTGAGTCCCAGCTGCTCCACTTCCCGTCCAACTCCCTGCTAATGGCCTGGGAAAGCAGTGGAAGATGGCCCTAGTGCTTGGGCCCCTGCACCTGCGTGTGAGACCCTGATGGAGTTTCTGGCTCCTGGCTTCGGCTTGGCCCAGCCCCAGCAGCTGAAGCCATTTCGAGTGTGAACTAGTGGATAGAAGATCTTTATCTCTCCCTCTCTCTCTCTGTCACTCTACCTTTAAAAAAATAGATAAATCTGTAAAAAAAAAAAGACCCTAAGCCACTAAGCCACGTCCTGTTTTTGAGTGTTTTAGCACAACAGAATAGTATAAAAATAGAGACTTTGTACAAATTCCACACATCCTGTGATGCAATGTAGGCGTCAAAGACTTGTAATGAACCCCTCCCTTGCCAATCTAAAACAGCCACGAGGCCCCCTTTGGCCCGTAGCATCTTTGCTAGGGTCACAGACTCTGGTGGTGCCCACAGGGGAGCCTTGCTGGGGTCTCCCTGTCAGTGTGAAGTCATCCCCCTTGTCACACAGGGCCACCTTTGGGGAGAGAGCCCTAAGGACACTGTCTTTACTCTGAGGTGGGGTCTGGGATGGCAAGATGACCATCCAGGCATGCTATCCCACACTTCCCACAGTCAGCCAGGCCCATGCCTGCTCAACTAGGGCCACCTACACTCCACGTGACGCCAGTTCTACCTGCAAGGCCCAGATGATAACTGAAGTCTCTCCCAAGAGCCAACATTTCCCAAACGATCATTTAAAACATATGGAAATAGCCATTTGTACAATTATTTCTCAGAGAAATAATGCATTAAAATTGTTTCAAAATTACAATGTTTCATCTGACTATTCCAACATAAATGCTCTTCTCACAGCACTTTTATCCCTTGCTTCCTAAAAAACAACACATTCCAGTTCAGAATTTGGTCTTTAAGTTATAAATCTTAAAAATATATTTTCTAAAATATTGAATGTGCATTATTTGGAAACATGAATATGCAAATGAGTCTATAAACATCAACATATAAATCAATTATCGATTTTCCAGCTCATGGAGAGATTCATCCATCTGAAACTTGACAGCTGTGACAGCAGTTTCTAGACTTTGTCTTTAAACACAAGCCAGTAGTGCTGAACGGCATCACCCAGACTCGAAGATTTGAAACTCCACAGGGTGCGAGATTCTGCAGTCTTCTCATGGGTGATGTCAAAGCTGAAGGCTGAAAGATACCTTGGTGGTATAGCTGGGAACAGATTCTGCAACAGAATGAACAAATATATCCAGTCATTCATCATTTCATCAGGACGTGTAGCTACAAGCTACGGCCTATGTCAGTACACAAATCATTGTGTGGTAAATGCAAATTAATGTATGGTTATAAATGAGTCATTACCATCAAGTCAACCATTACAAACACAGAGGCAAGCTTCAGCAATGTTTAGATCTAAGACAGGATCATTAATTCTCATTCTTCCGCAATCTTTCCAACCAGCTCACACCGCTGTATCAAGATCTTGGAAGCTATGCAACCTACAGCTGATAAAGTACGAAGAGACGGTCAAGAACCTGGGAGTGCAGGCAGCAGGGAGGCAGTGGGAAGGACTTCGGTTTAGCTGAGAAGCCTGGGCAAATCCTAAGTAAGCAGGATCCTCCTAAGTAAACCTCTCAGCCTCGCTCCTGGCACTGGGTACTGCCCCTCCCTGTCCCTTCACAGCCAACGGTTCTCAAAAAAAAAAAAAGTTCTCAAAAAACCCAAACTAAATGGGCCTACTCACTGATCTGTAGATGTTCCTTGTTTTATATGAGATTATGTTTCCAAAAGTTGAATTTAAATGGAATTTTGAAATGGAATCTAATTTTCCCATTAACTTAGAATACTATTTTGTTGATATGCTTTAGTTTAAAAAAAAAAAAAAAAAACTCATGCCCAGTAACACAATTTCAACTTTTTAAAATTCATTTTCCCAACCTCTCGGCCAAATAATTGATGATACAGCAAGCATTCAAGTGTACCAGGAAAATTTGATATTTGAAGGAAATGTGTCATTTCTGCTTTTTTGGAGAGTGAATGGACAAATAATTTACAGAGTAACCTGCCCCCCTAACCAGTTCCCTTTTGTTGCATAAGTGAGTGGAATTCTCCATACTGTGTTAAATAATTTCAAATACGAGTTACCCACCTCTTTCTTTCAGATCTTCAATATAAGCTTTCATAAATTCCTTATCAAAATGCTGGCGATCCCGTTCGGTCTCCAGCACTTCATCACCTTCTTGACATTGGGTCTTTTCAATAGGATTGTCCATCAGGCTTACATACCTGTTTAAGAAAGTACAGAAAACACCACATTTTCACCTGGGCATTTTTAATTGCAAAATTCCTCACCTAAGAAGTCAACCTTTCAGGGCCAGCACTGGGGCAGAGCAGGTTAAGCCACCGTGTACAACACTGACATCCCAAATGCGCACTAGTTCGAGTCCTGGCTGCCCTGTTTCCAATCTAACTCCCTCTAATGTGCCTAGGAAAGCAGTGGAACATGGCCCAAGCGTGTGGGTCCCTGCACCCATGTGGGAGACCAAGACAGTCAGTCCCTCCACGGTGGTTTTACCCAGCAACTGCTGACAAGCAGATGCTATGCAGAGAAAAGTCGGCCCTTGCTAAAGCAGCCTCCTGGGAAGATTCCAGAGAGACCCCACACTGCTAATGAAGTACCACCTTGACAGTAGACTCCATTTTGGAGCACTTGAGACTCCATTCTGGGAAGGCGCCCCCCGCGCCGTGAGACTCTGGTCTCAAACTATGATCTAGAACAGTTGGACAATAGCAGTTCACTACATCACTCATGGCGGAGCATAGAAACCCCCTAGCATGATCGCTCAAGCTTGGAAGTGGATAGGCTGCACGTGGGTTAATGATAAAAATCTAATTTGTCTATGTCCTACATATGATTAAAACCAATACCTGGATTAATGTCAAGATTATAATTGGAATTGTTAAGATTGTAACTGGTATTGTCAAGATTATAATTGATACTAGTTTCGCATAGGTTTTAGGTCAGCTTGACCCCAGTAACCATGTATTCCCCCTGTTCCTAGCAACCATGAATTCCCCTCCCGATTTTGTGGTTTTTGCCTTTACAAACCCTGTTGCTTTGGGCTTTAGGGTCGAGAGTTCTTTAGGGCATGAGCCCACTCTCCACCGCTGGCAATAAAGGACCATCAAATTTTATCAATGTGTGGTGCTCCTTTGTTTACACTCGCTCAGGTACAACACTGCAAACAGCCCCAAATGCTCTCAAGGTAGAGGCGATGGGAGAAGCCCCAAAGCCCCATATTCTGGCAGGATGTGCTGTGGGGAGCAATCCGGACTAGACTGAGTTACTGGAATTAGGACTTATTCTGTGCATCTGCTCTCCCACAATATGGCGCTGGGAGAGAAGTAAACAGCTTCCGCACAGCTGCCTCCAGTTCAGCTAATAAACTGTAGGACTTGCTCCTGATTGGAGGAGAGCAGCGTACTCGGCGTGTGGGCAGCCGAGTTAGGATTGGCGGAGGAGGACTATAAAGGAGGAGAGAGACGGCATGCACCAGGAACATCTATGGGGAACATCTAAGGGAACCCGTGCAGCCCCCGAGAAGAGCCGGCCGGCGGTGTGCCGCTCCCCTGCGGAAGTGGGGAATGCGGCCAGGGGGAACTGCCCTTCCACGGAGGTGGAAGGGATAGTAGCCAACCCGGGAAGAACCAGCAGCAAACCCGGGGAGGGCCGAGCAGACGAAAGAACAGCGCAGGGTCTTGTGTTGCTCCTCCACGAAGACGGGGAGTGACATAATGGTGCCGTGACTCGGATATGAAGCCTAGGCAGGGTCCTGTGTCGTTCCTCTACAAAGAGGGGGAGCGACAATGTGCTACCAGGGAGCCAGCACCCGCTGCCTGGGAGCTATTTTAGGGGAGACTAGAGCTGGAGCTTTTCAATGTCACTCGCCTGGCAGAGAAAAGTGATCTCATTTCTCATGCAGATTGGCGGCTGTCTGTGCCACATTGCCATGAGTGGATTTTCTAAGCATGGAGCAGTTCACAGGTGCATTTAAGAAATCCGAGGGAAGGGAGAGGGTTCACTTAGTAACAGTGGGCCCACCAGGCCAGCAGCCGTGGGACTGCTCGAGAACACATAGGGGCCCAGGCATGCGCCTGCTACGCAGGCCACCAGTGGGCAGCTGCCGTCCACAAGTCCTCCAAGCTTCAGCGCCCATGCCATTGGCCCCAAACTTCAAAATCCCCTAAAGAGTTGCCAGAATGTCCATGAACTTCGACCAGGTTCTCAGGGCGCAAGAATCACGTGATCTGGTTATGAGACAGGTGCCTCGCTCCTGACCGGTGCCAGACTGGGTCTCCGCCGGGTCTACTCACTTTAATGGTGTGGACGAGTCACAAAGAGCAGTTGGAACCTCCACCAAATGGTCCCCACTGACGACTATCAAGGCGAGCTTCTTTAGGTTAAGCAAGGCGTACGGGAGATAGGTCAGCTTGTTTTTATACAAGAGAAAGCTCTGCAGTTCTTCCAGCCTAAGAAGAGGAACAGGGTCAAAACACAAAGATGGCTTCACGCTGAGAAAACCAACACGAATCACGAGTGGCTTCTCACGGGAGAGTCCTGCTCAGTCAGTAGGCAATGACCTTGATGACAACAAACTTTCTTACTTTATTTTAAATAAATGCAGGCCGGGTGATGCCATTTTTTGTTTTGTTTCGTTTTTAGCTTTTAATGACTTCACTGAGAGTCAAAGACATACGTAACAGCAGAACCAGCAAACTGCACAGCAGCGGCCGTGAGGAGGAGACGCCCTCCCTCGCGTCTCTGGCATTTCGGAGTTGCAATGAGACTAATCAACTGTTGGCACCATATTCCCTTCTGTGTTTTGGGAGCACAGTGATTCTTTACCTATTATGTTTTCCCACTTGAAAACACAGAGAAAACTGCACAGTGAAAAGGAAATGAGCGAAATGTTCCGCTTTCCACTGTAGCCTAATTCGTGACCCCTTCCTGCAGGCTTTGCTAATGGCCATTTGCAAAATGCCTAATCCCACAAACATTGCACAAACATTGCGTAGTTTCCTGATGGTTAAATTAAAATAATTCCCACTTACTCTCATAAACCCAGAAAGCATGGACAAACGCCACACTACTGGGGTAGAGGAGCGCCGTACGACGCGGTATTCAGGCCTAAGCCACGCTGACCTCTGTGTCTCAACAGCTTTACTTGCACTCTTTTTTTTTTTTTTTTTTTTTTTTTTTTTTTTTGACAGGCAGAGTGGACAGTGAGAGAAAGAGACAGAGAGAAAGGTCTTCCTTTGCCATTGGTTCACCCTCCCTTGATCAAGAAAATGGTGGATTCCAGAAAGTCAGAGATTGTGTTTTGTTGACCACTTTAAACCCAGCCCACTCTCCAGGCCTGTCATCCAAGAACCTAATTCTCCTAACACTGGTAGGATGATTGAATAAGTCAACCAGTCATGCGTGATTCAGTATAACTGGTTTTAAAATTAAATAGCAACAATGACATAGTTCAAAACCTTACTAACCATATCAGTTTTCTTGATAAACAGCACAAGTGTGTGATCAATCACTAAATGGAACTGATATTCCAAGCAGAAAGTGATAGGTTTCTATCTTACATGTAATAAATATATTTTTCTGCTTCTGCAGGATAAAGGAAAGTTAATAGAGCCATTCTGGCAGAGTATGAAGCAAATTCATTCATGGAAACAATGAAGACAGGTACGAGTTGCATAGAGACATGTACAGTGTCTGTGGGATGCAGCTTGGAGACGGTCTTATTCTGTAAATCCTTGGAAACAATCAACTCTGGAGAATTAGTTGCTTTCCAAGAACTGTCCCTTGATTATGGGACAATGTGAACCGTGTGTAAGGCACCAGTGACGTATCCATACCCCTCACCTTCAGAACGCAGGTAGCTACCTGTCTATGTCTTGTGGCAGGTCATTCAGGTTGTTGTTGCTGATATCAAACCACTGCAAATTAGCCATCCGCAGGACACAGATCGGGACGCTGGAAAACTTGTTGGCGGAGATATCTACAAAGGTAACTCGCTTCAAATTACTTAACTAGAAAGAAAACAACAGAGTATTCTAAGAGTGGAAATTAGATTCAACGAATCATCTTAGATGGAGGTTTTCTCCCCCAAGGCATTTCTACGAGTGCTCATCTGTGCAAACCCAGGTCAGCAGCCAATGCAACTGGCAGTGATGCTGGGTGTCATTCGCCAGCTGTTGGGTGTCATTCCCAGGCTGTCTGCCCACTGTGGCTGCTCCTGAAGTTGTATCTTCACAAACAGGCAAAGCAATTTTAGGTAGCAAGAACAATGTGAAAAACGTATTCAATTTGCAGTGCTGCATAGCACAGAGAACAAATGGCTCAACTGCCCAACATCGTGGTCGGGTCAGCAAAGACCGCACATAATGGACTCTGCATTGAGTTCCTGAGGCTCCTGGACAGGCGGAACAGCAGGGGTGGAGACTCTGGGTAGAAGAACAGCATGCAAAGTCACAGGGAAGAGCGGGAGCGTTAAGAGTAGAATGACTTGGAAGAGACCGCATGAACCAGTTGTGGTGAATCTTAAGGAGGCTCACATTTGAGTCAGTAAAGTGATATGTCAAAGGATCAGAACTCTCTACTGCTTTCTCTTATGGCCATTATCCTTTTTAACATAGTCCCTGAACAGTGTGGGGAATTATAATCTTATTTACAATGCAAATATATGAATATGAAATAGAGCAGAAAAAAGTGTCTAATATTTGGACTTGACTATAGAACCTTAGCAGTGACCATGAAACACAGAGAGAGTGACCTTTTAGTGATCTGGTTTGAGAGTCCATGAATAAAATCTGTGCTATCAAAAGGCATTTCCAAAATGGTTATGAAGTGTGGAGTCAATTGCACCAACAGGCAGCCTACTGAAATGCAGACAAATGCGGAGGCAGTCGGCTCACACTACAGTCTGGCTTGCTCTAAATCCCATTCCATGTTGCCAGGTTTGCTTTACTGAGACACAGGCCAAATTCATCCAGTAGGCACGTGCTAATTTGCCCTTGTTTGGAATTTGCAAAAATGAATATGAAGACAGTAACGTGACAGGGAACAGTTAGCCAAGAGAGATGTCTTGGATGCCTACAGTTCAGTCCCACCTTTCTGACTGTGTTGCCAGAGTTATCAGATCAGCAGAAAAATGAAGAGTGAATTACCATTCGCCTCCCTTCTTTCTGCCTTTTACAATAAATGCAGAAAATTCATTTCAGACTGTAAAATAACTGAAGATATTTAAAAGAAGTAACTTAGAGTTATATAAAAAGTAGAATAAGGAAAATCACATAAACATTAAATCAGTAAAGAGAGAAATTACTTTCATCCACAATAGTTCCTTAGAAATGTAGAAATAGTGAAACAGGTTGTATGAAAGCATTACTTGTGGGGAGCAACTCGGACTAGACTAAGTTACTGGAATTAAGACTTATTCTATGCATCTGCTCTCCCACGATATGGCGCTGAGAAGGGAGAAACAGCTTCTACACAGCTGCCTCCAGTTCAACCAATAAACTGTAGGACCTGCTCCTGATTGGAGGAGAGCAGCGTACTCGGCGTGTGGGTAGCAGAGTTGGGATTGGCGGAAAAGGACTATAAAGGAGGAGAGAGACAACATGCACCAGGAACATCTATCTGAAGGAACACCTGTGCAGCCCCCGAGAGAGCCGGCCGGCGGTGTGCCGCTCCCCCTGCGGAAGTGGGGAATGTGGCAGGGGGAACCGCCCTTCCACGGAGGTGGAAGGGACGGTAGCCAGCCCAGGAAGAACCAGCAGCAAACCCGGGGAGGGCCGAGCAGACGAAAGAACAACGCAGGGTCCTGTGTCGTTCCTCCACGAAGAGGGGGAGCGACAATTACTGTAAAACATTTCTAAGAAAAATTAAAGATTTACATAAATGGAGAAACATTTTATGTTCATTGATTGGGAAGCTTTTTCTTGATTTTATTTGAAAGCCAGAAAGGAGGGGGGGTATCTTCCATCTACTAGTTCACTCCCCCAAAATACCTACAACAGCCTGGACTAGGGCAGGACAAAGCCAGGAGCCCAGAGTTCCATCCAGATCTCTCACATGGGTGGCAGGGACCCAGGTACCTGAGCCCTCACCTGCTGTGTCCCGGGTGTGCATTAGCAGGGAGCTGGATGGGAAGTGGAGGAGCTGGGACTTGAAGCAGGCACCAGGAAACAGGATGTAGGCTTCCCAAGCAGCAACTTAGCTAACTGCTGCACCAAATGCCAACCCTGGAAAACTTATTATTACTAAGGTGAAATTCTCCCCAAAATGCAATTGGTAAATTGAATGAAATTCCTATTGAAATTTCAGCTTATTTTTATTTTTTAAAAATTGTCAGGTTAATCCTAATATGTACATGGAAATCCAAAAGATGTAGAATAGCTAAAATAATGTTGAAAAAGGAGGACAAAGCTGGAGAACTTACATTGTGTCAATTTCAAAGCTTATTATTAAGTCATGGTAATCAAGACTTAACACAAAGAGAGACAAACAGAGCAATGGAACAGAACTGAGATTCCAAAAATAAATCCTTACATTTATGGTCAACTGGTTTTTCCATCAACGTTGCCAAGATAATTCAATTGGGAAAGAACAATCTTTTCAATAAAAATTACTGAGAAAATTGTATATCCACATCCAACAAAACCAAAACCATGAACCTAGACCCTTCCCTCACTCTGCACATGCTACAATATGAATGAAGAGTCTCAAAAACATGCTAGCCGGTGCCGCGGCTCACTAGGCTAATCCTCCGCCTTACAGCGCCGGCACACCGGGTTCTAGTCCCAGTCGGGGCGCCGGATTCTGTCCCGGTTGCCCCTCTTCCAGGCCAGCTCTCTGCTGTGGCCCGGGAGTGCAGTGGAGGATGGCCCAAGTGCTTGGGCCCTGCACCCCATGGGAGATCAGGAAAAGCACCTGGCTCCTGGCTCCTGCCATCGGATCAGCGCGGTGCGCCGGCTGCAGCGCGCTGGCCGCGGCGGCCATTGGAGGGTGAACCAACGGCAAAGGAAGACCTTTCTCTCTCTCTCTGTCTCTCTCTCTCACTGACCACTCTGCCTGTCAAAAAAAAAAAAAAATGCTAAATTTGGGAAGCCAGAAGACCATTGTCTGATTCTATTCATACGAAATCTCCAGAGAGTCATGCGATAGAGACATGTGGTTTCCAGGTGCAGGGAGAAGGGGCAGGGATTAGCAACAAGCTGGCGAAAGGGAATTATTGAATGGATGGAGAAATATCCTAAAACACAGTTACACTAGACTGCATACTTACAATGGGTGAATTTTATGGTACATAGGTTACACCTTAATAAAGGGGGGGATAGAGAAGATGACAAAAAGACCAGCAGGGAGACTGCTGACCCAGTCCGGGTGGCAGACAGCACCGGCTTGGGGCAAGGTGGTCGTGGAAAGGCAATGAGCGGTGGTCAGATGCAGAACAACTGCGAAGAGCATGCCCAGTAGGATGTGTGTACAGATGGGATGTGGGCACCGGGGCAAGAGAGGTCAAGGATGAGTTCATTCCATTCCAGCCCAAACATGCGGGTGAAGACTGGGCAGACTGGGGGGTGGGCAGCCCTGTGCAGGCCATCGTGGCCTGGGCTGAGCACCACTGTGCGGCACTTCCTGGGAGGAGACGGGCGCTACAGCCGCTTCCCCGCATGCAGGGAGTTCAGGAAAGGGGAAGAACACCCCTCTGGGCCCTCGCCAGCAGCGACTGTTTCTAGCCCGTCGGCTGCCAGCGGCTTTGTGTGGCGCTTCTCTCCCTGCGGCACAAGTTTGCTGAATTTCATTTGGCAATAAAAATGTTTCACTTTTATCGGCTGTGTATAATCAGAAAATATTTACAATCATTTGTCCATGAATCAATGCCAAGAAACTACAGAACATTTTTAAATTAAAAGAGTTCTCAAGGCCTAACTGCAACACTACTTGAGTCATTGGGAAGTTCTGAGTATATAAAAACTTCTCATCTCTTTTTTCATTTCCAGCTTTCATCACGCCGGATCAATGAATCAGGATCCACATTACAGGTAACAGGCATCATCCATGAAACAGGCATTGAATAAAAATCTCTCATGTGGAGCCGGCACCGTGGCTCACTAGGCTAATCCTCCACCTTGCAGCGCTGGCACTCCGGGTTCTAGTCCCGGTCGGGGCGCCGGATTCTGTCCCGGTTGCCCCTCTTCCAGGCCAGCTCTCTGCTGTGGCCCGGGAGTGCAGTGGAGGATGGCCCAAGTGCTTGGGCCCTGCACCCCATGGGAGACCAGGAGAAGTACCTGGCTCCTGCCATCGGATCAGCGCGGTGCGCCAGCCGCGGCGGCCATTGGAGGGTGAACCAATGGCAAAAAGGAAGACCTTTCTCTTTCTCTCTCTCTCTCACTGTCCACTCTGCCTGTCAAAAATAAAAAAAGAAACCAAAGATCAAAATAAATTTTAAGAAAAAAAAAAAATCTCTCATGTGGGACCAGCGCTGTGGCACAGCAGGTTAAAGCCCTGGCCTGAAGCACTGGCATCCCATATGGGCGCCAGTTCTAGTCCTGGTTTCCCCTCTTCCAATCCAGCTCTCTGCTGTGCCCTTGAAAGCAGTAGAAGATGGCCCAAGTCCTCGGGCCCGTGAACCCATGTGGGAGATCTGGAAGAAGCTCCTGGCTTTTTTTTTTATTTTCTTTGACAGGCAGAGTGGACAGTGAGAGAGAGAGACAGAGAGAAAGGTCTTCCTTTTGCCGTTGGTTCACCCTCCAATGGCCGCCGCGGCCAGCGCACCACGCTGATCCGATGGCAGGAGCCAGGTACTTCTCCTGGTCTCCCATGGGGTGCAGGGCCCAAGCACTTGGGCCATCCTCCACTGCACTCCCTGGCCACAGCAGAGAGCTGGCCTGGAAGAGGGGCAACCGGGACAGAATCCGGCGCCCCGACCGGGACTAGAACCCGGAGTGCCAGCGCTGCAAGGTGGAGGATTAGCCTAGTGAGCCGCGGCGCCGGCCCACTCCTGGCTTTGGATCGGCACAGCTCCAGCCATTGCCGCCACCTGGGGAGTGAACCAACAGTTGGAAGACCTCTTTCTGTGTCTCTATCTTTCTCTCTGTAACACTGTCTTTCAAATAAAATAAAATAATAATAATAATTTTAAAAATCTCTCACATGAAAACAGGACATTTTGCATCATTTTCCCTCGGAAGCATTTCTAAACTTAAATTAAGGTCTCAGCCTAGTAGATTTTACGACGGGGTTGGCACTGTGGCATAGTGCGCTAAGCCTCCACCTACAGCGCCGGCTTCCCTTATGGGCGCCAGTTGGTGTCCTGGATGATCCACTTCTGATCCAGCTCTCTGCTTATAGCCTTGGAAAACAGAAGATGGCCCAAGTGCTTGGGCCTCTGCACCCACGTGGGAGATCCGGAAGAAGCTCCTGGCTCCGGATTGGCCCAGCTCTGGCTGTTGCAGCCCTTTGGGGAGTGAACCAGAGGATGGAAGATGACCTCTCTCTCTCTCTCTCTCTCTCTCTCTCTTTCTTGCCCCCACCCCCCACATCTGCAACTCAATCTCTCAAATAGATAAATAAATCTTTTCTAAAAAGACTTTATGATAGACAATATAGAGCAACTGAAATATTAGGAAAATGTGACGCAGTAGAACGGATTAGGGGGTGGGCGTCTGGCCCAGTGGCTAGGATTCTGTCATCCATGTCGGAGAGCTCGGTTTAAATTCCCGCAGCCAGTGTCCGCTCAAGTGGTCGTGTCCCTGTCATCCATGTCAGAGACCCAGAGCGAGTTCCTGGCTCCTGGCTTCGGTGGGCCTAGCCCCAGCACAGTGGGCACTGAAGGAACGAATCAGCGGATGTGAACTGAGCCCCAACCCCTCTCTCTGCCTCATGCACAGAGAGACAAATAAACAAATACCGATGGTGGATTTCATCCTCTAGCCCTTCTTCCGCACATCACAGACCCCGCCGTGGCGTGAGTCAAGTGAGAAGGAACTCGCAGCAATGTTTATTTCTTACCTCGAAGGGCAGCTCGGTTAGGTCTAGATTTCCAGAACAATCCAGTCTCTCGAGGTGCTCACAGTCCCCCAGTTCTGGAGGAATGCTCTTCAGATGGTTGAAGCTCACGTTGAGTTCTCTCAGGTTCTTCAAGCGGCCTGTCACGAGAAACAGCAAAGCGCCACCGAGGGGGTCCTTGAAGAGCCACGCGCAAAGCTCACGCGTCCAGCGTCTGCGTCAGCGACGGGGAAGGCACTGAACGCAACCCTGCCAGTGGTTTCTGAGCATCCTAACTAAGGTCTGCTCCCCCACACGAGCATTTTGCTTCTGATCATGGCATTGTGTGGGTGTCGGGGGTAGGCGGAGGGGAGAGGCGATTGATTGATTGATTGATTGGTTATTGATTGATTTCTCCTTGCTCTTGAATTGTGTGGTCCTCTGTGAAACCATAGGCAGGGTGAGTGCAGCACACCGAGTGCAAACTCCTTAGCAGTAACACGGCAGAGGCAGTGTCAGGCAATGGGGGGACGTGTGGCACAGCTCCCAGGAGGCCGTCACCAGCCGTGGCCTCCTGGAGGGCTCTTAAGTAAGCTAAGGGCAGGCTTTGTGGTGCCGCGGGTTAAGCTGCCATTGGGATGCCTGCACCCCATATGGGATTACGGGATTTGAGTCCTGCTTACACTCCAGCTTCCTGCTGCTGTGCCCGCTGGGAGGAAGCAGCTGATGGCCCATGAACTTGGATTCCTGTCACGCATGTGAGAGACCAGGATGCAGATCCTGGCTCCTGGCTCCTGGCTCCTGGCTCCTGGCTCCTGGCTCTGGTCTGGCCCAGCCCTGGCCGTTGCAGCCATGTGAGGAGTGAACCAGAGGATGGAAGATCTCTCTCACTCTGTCTCTACCTCTCTCTCTCTCTGTAACTCTGCCTTTCAAATAAATTTAAAAATCCTTTTAAAAAAAAAGAAAAGAAAAGTCCCTACACAAAATATTGCTCACTCATGAAACTTCTAGTCTCGGAGCAGTGACAAATGTCTGTGTGTACTGCAGGGGGAAATCACCCGGGCGACACTGACGTAGGCAGCCGGGGACACTTGAGACAGCCCCGCCCTGCAGCTTTGGGGTGCACAGTTGGAGGGAACCCAGTGTTTGCAGTGCCCTGGCCATGACAGATGAGAGGCCTGGGGATGCCCACTGAGGGACATACCGATCTCAGCTGGGAGATGGGAGATTTGGTTTTTTGGCAGATCCAGAACCCTCATTGCTTGAAACAGCTCAATATAGGCAGGAATGATCTGAATCAGAGTATTGCTTATGTGCCATTCTTTCAGGTGTGTCTGCTCCTTCAACGAGTCTGGGAGCTCCTAAAACAGAGAGAAAAACATTAATCCGGCTTGTTCCTCAGCGGGCACAAAGTCATCTAAAGCAAAGCATGTAGGGGCCGGCACTGTGGCATAAAGCCGCTGCCTGCAATGCCAGCATTCATAGGGGTGCCAGTTCGTGTCCTCGCTGCTCCATTTCCGATCCAGCTCCTTGAAAACTAAACCAATGCTCCTGGCTCCTGGCTTCAGCCTTGCCCAGCCCTGGCCACTGTGGCTACTTGGAGAGTGAACCAGTACATGGAAGATATCTGTGTGTGTGTGTGTGTGTGTCTCCCTCTTTCTCTCTCTCTGTAACTTTTTCAAATAAATAAATGTCTTTAAAAAATAAATTAATTAAATAAAGCCAGGCTTCTATAAAACCCAGGATGCAAGAAGGCATATATGGGAGCACTGGACTTAACTCCCTGAACTACAGCCATTTAAAAAAAAGAAACCAAAGTCACTGCATTTGTCATTAATTTTACAAGAGCAGATACTTCCAACTCAATGACATTACTAAAATATACCAGACAAGATACCAATATACATATTCATATAAGTCAAATACTAAGTCAAAATTTTGGACGACCAGGCTCAAACACATATTCACAGTAGTCACATATTTATAACATATCAGTTGACTATCCTCTAAAAACAAAATGTCATTTTATTCAATTGTGAAATTTAGGCTACATTTCCTTTATCTGTAGTTGCTTTCAGAAATACTTGATAAACACCTAATATTTGCTATACTAAATTTTCCAAATGTAATAGAGAAAGAGCACCAGAAAGACAGTCGGCGGGGAGTGCTGAGGTCCAGCCCAGCCTCCGCGGCCTCAGGCCTCCTCGGGCTCTGGAAGTGGTGGGGAGGCCCCTGGGCCCCTGAGCATCCGTAAAAGCACAGGCAAGCACTGACACCTGCGACCCCCATCAGATGGGGGCACTCTCTCCACCCTGCCCTCTCAAATAAATCAGCTAGGAGAGACGGAGGGCGGGCCCAGAGAACCAGGTCCACCGAAATGGGCAATATGCAAGTTCCCCTACCCACGGCTCTTCCCCAACACACAGACCAGACTCCAGCTGCCCGCGCCAGCACTGCCCCACCAGAAATGCCAGATCACAGACAGCCCCGGGGATGCCTCCCCAAGCCTGGCAGCAAGTTGGGGGAGCAGGAGGCAGGATGCCATTGCAAACACCCCAGGAAAGAACAAGGGGTGTCGCTGTCGTGAACGGGGAGAGGGGCGTCTCACCAAGGAAGAGGTTGTCATTCAAATGGAACTTTTAAGTGGCAGAGTTAATTTAAATGTCTGGGGCAAAACAGAATTAAGCCGCCAGGGGCTCAGCTGCTCAGCTTTGGGGGGATCCAAGCCGAGCCACTGCTCTTCCCAGAGCCACCCCACATTTCCTGCAGAGAAGACCAGAGAACCCACAGAAGGGACACCTTCCCCCACACCGCACTGGGAAGCTCTCCAAAGGCCGGAGCCCTCACCAGGCCAAGGGCGAGGCCCAGGCTCGGGTCGGCGGTGGACAGCCCCAGCCAGCTCTGCAGCGAGACAGAGAAACACATGGACTCACCTTCCAGTGCTCCCCTGAGAGTTCTAACACAAACGGACTGCTCTGCTTGCCTCCGCCCTTGGCGAGCGACCGCTGCCTGATGAGGGAGTTCCTCTCGATCCTTTCTAGAAGCCTCACGCTGGTGTCCACAAAGCCATTCCTGCAGTACTCGGCCTGCGGGATGCCCAGCCGCCGGCACTCGGCCACGTAGTTCCACTCCTCCTTTATCCTGCAACAGCGGGCAGCGGAGGCCACAGTGACCCTCCTGGGCCACCACCTGCCGGGAGGGGCGTCGGCCCACCTGTGGCCCTCTCGACCCCCCACCCCTTTGTGAATTATCAGTGACTTTGATTAAAAAAGTCAACGAGGTGAGATAGATGAAAATTCCTGGTGAAGTCTCCACTAACATTTCTTATTCATTTGATTAATTACAGTTTCCTTTGTGATTATGCTATGGTGCCAACCTACGTTTTGTTTTTTGTTTTTTGTTTTTTGTTTTTTTTTAAATGCAGGGTCACAGGAATTTGCTGACCTCTCAAGGCCATCAGAATAGAAACAGAGAACAGCCCCTGTTTATAAACACCTGACTTGGGGTTGGCGCTGTGGCGTAGCAGGTAAAGCCGCTTCCTGCGGCACTGGCATCCCATATGGGCGCCAGGTCAAGTCCCGGCTGCTCCTCTTCCGATCCAGCTCTCTGCTATGGCCTGGGAAAGCAGTGGAGGACGGTCCAAGTCCTTGGGCCCCTGTACCTGTGTGGGAGACCCAGCGGAAGCTCCTGGCTCCGGGCTTTGATCTACCCAGCTCCAGCCATTGCAGCCATCTGGAGAATGCATCAGCGGATGGAAGACCTCTGTCCGTCTCTCCCTCCCTCCGTCTGTAATTTTACCTGTCTCTTTTAAAATCCTTTTTAAACAAGTGTATTATAAATTTCCATCACCCTGCCTTTCAAATAAGTCTCTGAAGTATTACTGTAGAGAGACTGATCAGCTCATCTCATTCCTCCCTGTGCTCCTCGCACTGTCTGGAGTACACAAGGGGTCTCCAAACATTCACGAAAAATGCGTATTATGGGAAACCTAGCGTGGGATTCGAAATGTTTTACACCAAAAGAGACTCATCGTTTCACTCCGTTTTCCGTGGGCTCTTGGAAGCTCCCGTGCTTGCAGGTCCTGATAACTGCAGGTGGTCACTGTGGCAGGGATGGGGCGTCAGCCCTGCAGTCCAGCGGGCAGGGCCCCCACAGTAAGGGATCCCAGAAGGAAGGCACCTTCCCCGGCCCCCGGCCTTCCCTGCGCGGATCCAGGAGCCCCCGGCGGGGACAGGCAGCACCTACTTCTCCAAGGCGCTCTTCTCCAGCCGCTCCGCCTCCTTCTTCTGCCACGCTTTGTGCCTCCTGACCCGAGTTTCCCACAAGGCTCTGACGGCGGAAATGTCAAACACGACCACTTTATGTCCCATCGTGGGAGCATGCAATTACCTGTTTAAAAAATGCACGGGTCAGTTTCATGCACACCCTGAACACATACAGCCTCGACGTGAGCTCTGAAATGAGACTGCTCTGTGGCTCCCTGAGCCCACAGGCATTCTGCTGAATTTACTAGAATATGCAGCTAATCATCCCAGCAGGTGCACTGGATGGATAGAGTACACACACGCGCATGCACACACAGGAACACACCTTGCACATTTCTCTCACCCTCAAGGAGAGCAGCAGAGTGATACTTTCTAAGCTGTGTTAACCTTATTAAAAACCAAGGCTCGCTCAGGCTGTGTTACTGTTATTTTCCACTTAAGGATGACCGGAAAAGTCTTAGTCATAGAACTTTCTCCTGCAAACGGTGAAGCACTCTTTCTTTCCTCTAAGTACAGGACACAAAGAACACAGCCACGTTCTCCTCCACCCTCCTCCCACCCTCTCCTCTTAATCAAGCTGACCCGATGGCTTCCTCCACTCCAGGGTAGACCTCCAGCCCCCTGCCCGCCACCGCCTCCCCTCCCCTTATCATCTGAAGCTACACACCAGCTCTGTTAACAACCAAAGTCGGCTGGCGCCACGGCTCAACAGGCTAATCCTCCGCCTAGTGGCGCCAGCACACCGGGTTCTAGTTCTGGTCGGGGTGCCGGATTCTGTCCCGGTTGCCCCTCTTCCAGGCCAGCTCTCTGCTGTGGCCAGGGAGTGCAGTGGAGGATGGCCCAAGTCCTTGGGCCCTGCACCCCATGGGAGACCAGGAGAAGCACCTGGCTCCTGCCTTTGGATCAGCGTGGTGCGCCGGCCGCAGCAGCCATTGGAGGGTGAACCAACGGCAAAGGAAGACCTTTCTCTCTGTCTCTCTGTCTCTGTCTCTCTCTCTCTCTCTCACTGTCCACTCTGCCTGTCCAAAAAAAAAAAAAAACCACACACACAACCAAAGTCCCCATGGAGCCCCAGTCTCCCAGTCTCCCACCTCCAGCTGACCACATTCCCTTTGGAACTGGGTCATTTTCTCTTCTCATAGCTGACCTGCCATAGAGCTTTGTACTCTGGATTCAGACCCTTACCACACGTGTGATTTGCAAAACTTTCCTCGCATTTCTGTCTTTTCAGTTTCAGATTCCATCCTTTTGCGTTCCACCTAAATATGTGGTTATATGTTATCCGAGATACTGGGAAACACATGCTGTTGGATCTGAGTCCGTCCTTTAATGGGCGTGTTGGGGCCGCTTCCATGTAACGTCATTATGGATGTACTGAGCTCGGGTCTGCTGCCGTATTTGCTCTCCACGATCCCTTTTGCTCTCCTCCCTCACATCTTTTCTTGGTGTTACTGACGGCAGTGTTTCATTCTACTTTCTCTAGTGTTTTTGACTATGTTTCTTTGTGTAGTTTTGTTTGCTTTGTGAGGGTTTGTTTTTGGTTGTTGGTTTTCTTGCTTTTTTGTAACGGTGGCCCTGGGAAGGTGTACACTACCTTTCCAGAGACCCCTTAGGAACAATATGTCACCTCTTGGAGAGAGCTGTCGAAGGCCTCCCCCGTGTACCCCCATCTTCACACTGTGGTTGTCTTCGTGTGTTCTGTCCGGGCTACATTTGTGGCTTCCAACTGTCCAGTTAAAGACCTCGCAAGGAGCAGCAGCCCACTACATGTACTTCGTACGTGCTGTGTCGGCTGCTTTTCCCAGCTTCCTATCACTCAGGGTTCCCACTGGTGTTATTTCCCTGTGTCCAAAAAACTTCCTTTTACAAGTAATTCTGTAGGAGGTATGCCGATAAAGTCTGTGTTCCCGCTCTTGGAGTATTTCGTTCTCACCTCCATTCCTGGTTATTTTTATCAGACTCCAGATTCCGAGTTCACACTCTTTTCTCTCAGCACTTTAAAAATACCACCACTGTCTGCTGGCATCATGGTTTCTGTTGCGAAATCTGTAGCGATTTGAATAGCATTCTCAACTAGGCGATGCATCATTGGTCACTTGTTACTTTCAAGATGTTTTCCTAGGGTCAGTGGTTAAGTGGTTTTCTTTGGCATGTGCTGAAGCCACCACTCAGGATGCCACCATCCCAAATGGGAAGGTCCAGGTTCAAGTGCCAGCTCTGCTCTCCATTCCAGCTCACCCCAGGAGCCAGCAGGTAATGGGTCAAGTAGCTGGGTCCCTGCCACCCAAGTGGGAGACCCAGATCAAGTTCTAGGCTCTCAGCTTTGGCCTGGCCCAGTCCTGCTGTTGCAGGCATTTGGGAGATTTTTCTGCTTCTCTGAAATCATTTCAAGCAGATAATAAAAATTTTAAAAGATTTTAGTCTTGGAGCAAGTGTTGTGGTGTTGCGGGTTAAGCCCTCATGGGTGCCACTTAGAGTCCCAGCTGCTCCACTTCTGACCCTTGATCCCTGCACCCATGTGGGAGACCCAGCAGAGGCTCCTGGCTCTTGTCTTCAGCCTGGCCCACCCCTGCCCATTGTGGCCGTTTGGGGAGTGAACCAGTGAATGGAAGACCTGTCTCTCCTTCTCTCTTTCTGTAACTATGCCTTTCAAATAAATAAGATACATCCTTAAAAAAAAAAATAAAGGCCAGCACCATGGCTCACTAGGCTAATCCTCAGCCTGTGGCACTGGCACCCCAGGTGCTAGTCCCGATTGGGGAACTGGGTTCTAGTCCCAGTTGCTCCTCTTCCAGTCCAGCTCTCTGCTGTGGCCTGGGCAGGCAGTGGAGGATGGCCCAAGTCCTTGGGCCCTGCACCCACATGGGAGACCAGGAGGAAGCACCTGGCTCCTGCCTTCAGACTGGCGCAGCGCACCGGCCGTAGCAGCCATTTGGGGGGTGAACCAACAGAAGGACAATCTTTCTCTCTGTCTCTCTTTCTCTCTCACTGTCTAACTCTGTCAAAAAATTAAAAATTAAAAAATTTTAAAAATTAAAGATTTTAGTCTGTTTTTCTTCAGAATAACTACGATATGCATGGGCATGAGGTCTCTGTAAGTCTGCAAGAAGCTAAGCCTCAGCCTAGAAACAAGAGGTTTAAAAAAAACAGCCAGTAATGGAGAAAAACTAAGAAGAGACGCAGTCAGTGCAATCTCCCTGAGGGAATCTCTGCGCGGGGCCCCGTCCTCATACAGAAGCAAACCACAGAGCCAAAGTCAAGTTAAAGGCATGTGGGCAGCGTGGGCAGCCCAGCGGCCGGGGTCACGGCCCAGGAAGGCCTGCTAGCTGTCTGTGTGTGTGTGTGTGCGCGCAGCCTAAGCATCCCCCAGACTCTGCTGCTGAAATTCTGTCACTCCCTTTGGTCAGTAGCCTCTGCACTCCCAGCCTCACGGCTCACTCCTCTCCATGCATTCACTCACGTGGAGAAATGCAATTCAAGTTCCCATCTTGGGGAATGGCCTATATTTGATCACGTGAACAAGAGAAAAATGACATAATCATTTTTCAGAAATTCCAGGAATATCAACACTTTCATTGCCCAAGTCCTTGACATCTTTTTAAGCAGCTGTAAATTATTACGACACTTGGCCGGCACCGTGGTTCTCTTGGCTAATCCTCCGCCTGTGGCGCTGGCACACTGGGTTCTAGTCCCTGTTGGGGTGCCGGATTCTGTCCCGGTTGCTCCTCTTCCAGTCCAGCTCTCTGCTGTGGCCCGGGAGGGCAGCGGAGGATGGCCCAAGTGCTTGGGTCCCATGGGAGACCGGGAGGAAGTACCTGGCTCCTGGCTTCGGATTGGCGCAGCGTGCGGCCATTAGGGGAATGAACCAATGGAAGGAAGACCTTTCTCTCTGTCTCTTTCTCACTGTCTATAACTCTCTCTGTGTCTCTCTCTCACTATCTAACTCTGCCTGGCCAAAAAAAAAAAAAAAAAAAAAAAAAAATGACACTCAGTATGTAGGTGGGAAAGAACACATCCTGTCTACCATCGAACCATGTTCTCCACCTCCCCTGAGTTGTGCAACACGAAAGAGGTTCTGTTCTTCAAGAAAGAGGACTTAAGCCAGGGTCTTGTCTGTAAGAGGGAGTTCTGCTTGCAAATGTGTGCAGCAAAAACTGGAGACGCTAAGAACCGCGGTGATGAGTCTGCGAGAGATTTACACGTAACCTTCAGAGGCGCTGGGAAGCTCCGGCTAAGCTCTAAGTGCCAGCTCCAGCCCAGCCGCTGGCAGCCTGAGCAGGACAGGGCTGCGGCCAGGTCTCTGTGGGCAGCTGGACAAGTCTGACGAGGAGGCAGGTAGCACCCTGTGTGGGTGCTGAGACTGGGAAAGGGACTTCATCATAGGAGTCTGGGAGTCAGTTCGGGCAGGGAGGAGTCCCTCCATCCTGATTGGGAAGCAGAGAGGAGGCAGATGTCGGGGACAGACGCAAGCATCACTCAGCGGCTCAAGGAAGAGACGGTCTCCTGGCAAAATCACAAAGCTGACCTCTGTGTAGAGAGCACTCCGGCCAACGCAATCTTTCAGGCAAACACCTGAAATGTCGTTTCCTACACATTAACTAACTGTCGGACTCGCCATGCTGTACGTCACCAAAGCAGGAAAGAGGAGCAGCCATCTTGACAGATCCACCCCGGGAAGCCCTCAACACAAATAAAGCAATAAGCGGCCTTACAGAGGAACCATGGCGCCGGAGGAGAGGTTCTCTCACAAAGCCAAGTGCAAAGCATTAGCCCGCGTCTCCTCCCGGTGCACAGCCCAGACTCATGGTTCCAAAGCCTCTGATCCTGGTCCCGGCTATGGAACAGAATTGCCAGGCTAGCACTCAGGCAGCCCACACACCTCCCTAGACCTGAGCTGCACTGTCCCCTGTCCCCGGGCCCAGAGCTTCTTCCCAAGAAAACACCGGCGACCACGAGGCCTGCCTCTGCACACTGCGAGGGAAAGGACACTGGGCCAGAGACTGCCGCCAGGCCCCCTCCCCTGCGCCCAGGGACGCCAGGGGCCACCCTGTAGGCTCCCTGTGGACATGCCAGCCGTCAGCAGATTCGCAAAGTGGGAAGGAAAATGCCCATGGGAAAACCTTT